ACCATCGCGCTCACGCCAAGGAGGGGAAGCATTCCACGGGGAACACGGCCTGAGGTGGTGCCACGTGGCCATCACGGTGCACCTCGAGCTGACCATAGCATTCACCCTTAGGCCCGAGGGTGTAATAACCCATTTTCCTTTTCTTGTTCAGTCAACTCAGCGTCACTCCAATTCTTTCTTTTATTTCTCTTTTCCTTCCTCTTTCAGGGTGTGGTGCCCTGTTGGACATGAGTTCAAACCCCTTTTGGATATTCTTTTAAAATTATTTTTCAGCTTTTGATAAATGACAAACACAACGACAAACAAAAATTTTATTTTCGATTCAAGAAAGCAAAGAGGCGTATCAAGAATTTATACAATGATAAAACTCGACGTTCCAATCCCTATGCAAGATCTTTTAGAAGTGAAGTGAAGATTCCAAAGACTTTTATTTTTATTGAGTGGTAGGAACAATTATAAAGATGACAAATATTTTTCACTTAAACAAATTATTTTTGAGGGTTATACTTTAAAATTTATTATTTTTAGAGTCAGTTGGAAAATAATTTTTCTTTGTCTAAAACTATTCTTTTTGAGTCAATTACAAAAGTGTGTCAAAATTTCTTAAGATATCTTTTTAGGATACTTTTTTTTATGAGAAAAATATATTTTGAAATATTTTTTGTATACACCGTTCGACACAATAAATATTTTTGGGACTCATTTTTCTCACTCAAAAATTATTCAAAAATAAATTTTGAATAAAATTGAATTATTGGGGAAGCCTCTTGCCTTATTTCTTATGCTGGAAACAAGGCATTTACGCCAAATTCTTCCTCACATCGCACCTGTCTTAGGTCCTTCTTGTTTACGCATAATTGGTTTAATAATCGATTATCCCCTATTAGAATAATTGATTAATAAACTGATCCGCTAGAGGGTTATTCTCGCACAGAAAATAAATCGGTTATTACCTAATGGATTAATCAATTAGCTCTTTGGTCCGCTGAAGGAATTGAGGACAGAAGGGTCTAATCGATTGTTCTCTCTTAGAATAATCGATTTTTTGTGTCTGGTGTATTTCACAACCTCTTCTCTTCTCCCTAACGGATTTATTTTCCTTATCCTTATAAAACCCCTCATCCTACTCCATTTCACATAGAATTCAAGCACTCCTTTCACTCCTTCTCATTCATTCCATTCTTGCTCCATTCTTGATCATCAAAATACCATTTTGGGAGCTAGAAACTAATTTTTATTGAGTGCAAAGATATTGTCATCCATTAGAACTCTAACATGTTTTATGTGTGGCTCAAGAAAAGGATGGTACATAATCAGATACTGGAGATTCAAGATGGATATGGAGAGATTGTGGAAGGTATGGATGAAATAGCCAAAGTATTTGAGAAGTTTTAAAAAAACTACTGGGGACTAAAGTGAACACAGAAGACACTAATGAACACATTCTAAAGAGAGGTAAGTGCTTGAGTATTGAACAACAAGTAGGGCTGATCAAAAACTTCAGTCACCAACAAGTTAAAGAAGCCCTTTTTCAATACCTAACAAGAAGAGCCCAGGCCCTGATGGGTTTAGTAGTGGTTTCTTCAAATGTCAGTGGAAAGTGGTGGGGGGGACTTTTCACAAGAGCTGTGTTGGATTTTTTTAAAGAAGGGAAAACTCTTCAACGAATCAATGCTATTGCCATTACAATTATACCCAAGAAGCCTGATCCTGTAGGTCGTGCTGAGTATAGGCCCATAGCATGTTGTAAAGTTGTCTACAAAGTTATCTCAAAGCTAATCTGTATGAGGCTGAAGGAGGTATTGCCTTTCATTATTGATCAAAATCAAGGGGCTTTTGTGCAAGGGAGGGAACTCATTCATAATGTGATGCTATGCCAAGTGATAGCAAAAGGGTACAAGAGGAAAGGAATATCCCCTAAATGCATGATGAAATTGGATATCCAAAAAGCATATGATTCGGTAAGCTGGAATGCCATTCGAGGTATACTGCATAGTCTCAATTTCCCAGAGCAGTTTATCAAATGGATTATGTTTTGTGTTACTACTCCCACATACACCTTAAATATGAATGGAGGTCAATTTGGGTTCTTCAGAGGAGCTAGGGGGCTGAGACAGGGGGATCCAATTTACCCTCTCTATGTTTTGCTGATGATTTAATAGTTGTATGTAAAGCTAATGACAAGTCTATTAAGTGCATTATGAAGGTCCTGGAAGAGTTCAAATCAGCCACACGTCTGCGCATCAATTGTAACAAATCCCACATAGTATTTGGAGGAGTAAGTGAACAAAAACAACAGGAGCTGCTTCAATTAACTCAAATGAAGCTTGGCACCCTATATTTCACTTATGTGGGCAGTCCCATTACTGCTACTAGACTCAAGGCTAATGAATGTGAAGTGTTGGTGCACAAACTTACAAGTAGAATTGATGCATGGGGGACCATACACTTCTCATACGTAGCAAAGATTAGGACTATTAATTCTGTCTTAATGGGGATAAAATTTTTTTGGGCAAGTATATTTGTCTTACCGAAGACAGAAATGAAGAAAGTCGCTTCAATTTGCAGAAATTTTTTGTGAGTAGTACACACCAATATAAAAAAGCTCCTTTGGTTAAATGGGATGAAATTTGCCAGAAAAGGAGCTTTGGAGATCTGGGTTTGCTAAATGTGTCTCACTCGAATAATGCTAACATCATGAGGCTAAATTGGGACATTGCAAATAAAAAGGATGTGTTATGGATAAAATGGATCCATAATAGATATATCAAAAAATTTGAGTTTTGGAGCTTTTTCCCAAGAATGGATACTTGTCATTATTGGAAGGAAATGATTAGAGTCAGGGAAATCCTTGGAGATATGCCTAACAGCAAGGAGTTTAGTGTTAAGGATGGGTATGAATGGCTCCAAGGTAAGTGCACTAAACCAAAATGGAGGGATTGGGTTTGGAATAATCTGACCACCCCCAAATTTTCAAGTGGTGGTATGGTTGATGCTGCGTGGAAGACTACAAACAAAAGAAAGGCTGAGAAGATTTATGACTGTGGATATGCACTGTATTTTGTGTGGGGAAGGAACTGAGACAGTTAAGCACTTTTTCTGGACATGCCCATATGCGCAGAGGATATACCAGCAGATATTTAACAACTTCAAGCTCTCACTTCATATCACATTCTTGGATGATTTGGAGAAGATCCTGATGGAGCCTAAGAAAAGCTACAAAGAAGGAAGATCATAGTACTATGGGCTGCCTGTGTGTACAGCACTTGGAGATCAAGAAATAGGATTTTGCACCATAAGAGGACTACGGAGGAGGATACCTGCAGGGCTTATGCTTCCTCTTATATGTTTTCTTTCTTTCTATTTAAAAAGGTGAAAGTTTTTGGGAAGTCTAATGATGACAGTTAGATATGAGTTGTAAACATTGATTGAAGTTGGTAATAAAGTTGTGTTTTCTGTTCAAAAAAAAATAATTTATTAACTAGTTGACGCAATAAGACTTGAAACAGTAAGGCTTGTATTAATTTTTAAATTTTATGTTTTAATTTTAATTGATGCTAGAGAAATGACACATTGATTTTAGAGAAATCACTCTAAATAGGAGTAAAACATAAAGAAAGAACCAATATAAGAGTTCCATGTTTTTATTTCTTAAATAGAAGTTTCCACTGTGATAATGTTGAACTGTACATGTGTATCTTACTATACTTTTTGGTAATGTACATGTTCATGACTGGTAATGTAAATGCATTTAACTCTTATTTCAGAAAAAAACATAGAACTTCTATTTTGGTATTAATGTTTTACTCCTACTTTAGTCTTTTTCCCTTGATTTTATGTTGCAAACTTGGATGTTTGAGGTTGGAAAATTTTGAGAATCTTTTAAACATTTACTTTCGCAATTAAGATTTTTTTATTAGAAGTTTAAGACACAATTTGTTTTTGCATTACTATATGCACTTTGCTCTTATTTTATTTTTATTGTGCTTGATAATAGACGCTTGAGAAGTTTTATGGTTTATTTTTCATCTTTGATATATAAAAGAATATAAAACAAATCAAAATTTTTAATGATGACATTAAATGTATATAAAATATTTTAAACTTTAAACGCACCAAAGATTTTTGAACAAAGTAAATTATTTTAAATGAATCTACTTTTTATAATGAATTGACTTCTTTTGAACAAATCAGATATTTTTACACGAACCTATTTTTTTGGACCGAACGAATTTTTTTACCGAACATGAATTGTTTTGAACGAACCAAATTTTTTACACGGAACAAATTTTTAACCGAACCGAATATGAATCGTAAAAATTATTCGAATCGAACTCGAATCTGAACATGAATATCACCTAAAATTGCCGAATACGAATATTATTGATGAATGTTCGATTCGATTCATTTACAACCCTACTCCGTAGTAATCAAAGAGCATTTTGTTGGCATTGAGAGCTCAATAGGTTATACTCCATCCGTTTCAGTTTAATTTCATTGTACTAATATGCAATACATATTGAAAGTAATTTAAGCTCAAAGTTTGTCTAGTTTAACTCGAAAAGGTCAAAATAAACAAATACACTAGAATGAAAGTAACATATAAATAAAAGACAAGTCCTATGCCCTAGGAGGGTCTCTCAGAACAAATCGGACGGTCAGCGAGAAAGTAAATTGAGTTTTTATCACAAATTAGATGGCAAATGTTAGAACTTGCTTCTGATGCTTAGACTCAATATTATAGGTAATATTACCTCCGGGATCCGGGAGGCAACGTACCTGCATCATTGCAAAAGTGAGAATTTCTCAACCCTACCAACAAGAGTAGATGATTTCTTTTCTTTTATTTTCATTGTGTGAAACACAAGTTGAAGACTAAAATTAAGTAACAGAAACCCCCTAAAACTAACAATATGAAGGCATTAAAAAAACAAGGTATGATATCATCATTCTCTTCTATATATAAGGTATGATATCATCATTCTCTTCTATATATACTCCGTAATTGTCTCTCTTTTTTTGTAGTTTGAAAATGGGATCCTTCACGCCAACAAACGTACATTATACAAACGCAGCCACAAAGATTACACAAAGCACTTCCTTTCTCTATCTCCCTCTCCTATCATACACATATAAATGTATCCTCATCATACCTTACACCATCGTAATTCCTTTTAGCAGAAAATCAAAACAAAACAAAATAAATAAATAAATAAATAATAATGCACATAAATGGGGTGTGTGTATATAATATAATATATATATATATATATATATATATATATATATATATATATATATACACTCCGTAAAATATATATATATATATATATATTTGAAAGAAAACTGCCGCCACCCGGCCTTATCCTTCCAAAACCCTGACGGAATTTGAATTCAGATCATCCATCATTTCATCACAGCGAATCAATGAATGAATGAATGAAGAGACAATAAACTATTGGTGGGACTCTTGGAAGGAGTGTCTGTTCAAATAATCAATCTATCTTTGTCGCGGGAATCCTCTGCTTGCTTATGTACAGATTACTGGAGATCCCAGGGGTGGAGTTAGCATCAGGCTGGAAGAACAAGCATATGTAAATAATAAAAAAATTAAAAAAACTGTCAACTGCATGCAGTTTTAAACACCGTAATAATCAAAAAAAATCCAAGGAAGAGAACCTCGATCATTTGTGACTTGAGGCCGACCTCTGGTTGGCGTTGGTGGTCGGTTAGCATTAAGCTCCTACTCCAATTTAAGAAAAATGGGATTAACTAAGATGAATATATATAGCTCAAAGAGATGTGCAGGAATTATTATGAACTCCACCTGCATCCATGTGTCTTCTATGTGCCGCTCGGGAGAAGTTTCAGGTGATGAAATTGCAGGGGGTAAGGGATGAATGAGTTTTGGGACCACCACAAGATCTCTACCCAATACTAAGATTGCACCGGCATTATTGGCAGTACCTGCAGCAATAAGACAACTTGGTTTAGGAAAGAAAAGAATTTTTTCCAAGAAAAAATAAGACTTTCTGATGTGTGCGTGTGTGAGAGCGAGAGAGCCTACACACCACAATAGTTGGTGGCTGAGAATAGAGTGATTAAATGTCCCTGAGCAAACCGTTCAAAGCCATCCATCACACATTCATGGGCTCGGACAATCAATTGAAGATCGTTGTTATTGCAGAATTCCATCACACGATCAGGCTGCAAAACAATGCGAAGGAACTTGCATGATTCACCTCTACTGAATGTCAACCAGCCCTCCTTTTCAACTCAGTCCTTAGAAGCTATCATGCGGGAAAAAAATTAAAAGGAGGCTATACTCACCCCAAAAGTAACTAAGCCTGGTCCTCTGGCATTTGGGCGCAATCCCTCAACACTGTCGTTTTCAGTTGGGTCAGACCTGAAATTACAAAGGGAGTAAAAATTACATTGAAAACAGTTAGAAGAATGAAAGTCACAGAGAGAGAGAGAGAGAGATAATGCTGACCACAACAAGTCCATGAGAACAATTGTGCCAGCTTCCATGGTAATGGGACGCTGAATATTTTCAATTTGCTCGACATGATTAATCGACCGCCCAATGCCTCCATGCATGCATATGATTTTCTTTTCAATCAATGCCGCAAGAGGAAGCCAGTTAAATAGTCTGTTTATCCGGTGCCAAACCCATATTCCATCTCTCTCCCCCTAATCCATACCGACTGTAATATTAGCAACTGTCTGTCTGTCTTAGATAGCAACAAAAGAAAAGAAAGCAAAAAAGTGTTGATGTTTTATGATTATTACTTACCATCCGTTCAATGCACTCGATTCGAAAGCCAAAAAGGGCATTGATATCTGCAGCTTCATGGTTCCCACGTATTAAGTGCACATTATGGGGATACTCAACCTAGAGATTCACTTATTTTTATTTTAAACAGCAACATGAGGATGTAAAAACTCAAAATATAAACAGCAGACAAAAGTACCTTTAAAGCAAGGAGAAGAGTTATGGTTTCCAAACTGTGCTGCCCTCGATCAACATAGTCTCCTAGAAATAGATAATCGATGTATCTGAAAGCCATTTTATATTATATCAATTCCATAGAAAAAATGTTCCACACATTACTCAGAGTGCATTATTTACTACTAAATTTACTAAAAAGAATGTTAACAATACACAAAATGTTTGACATCACTAATGAGAACATCGCACATACATTTTAAAAGGGAACAGACACAGACACACACACACACACAAAGAAATGAAGGAAAGCATTCGTAAGAACTCAGTTAAAGATAGAAAACTGTTGCTCCTAAAGTTTTAGTTTATAAAAGGGAACATCAGAAGTAATTGTTAAATAAGCTAGTGAGGCTACTTACGATATATCTCCAGCAGTTGATGGGGATCCATATTCGTCAAAAAGCCGCATAAGATCCCCAAATTGTCCATGCAAGTCACCAAATATCTTAATAGGAGCTTTTAGCTGAAGAACACTAGGTTCACTAGCAAATATTCTTTCAGAATTGTCACAAAGATCAGCTATCTCATTGCAATCCAAGAAAAATTGCCGCCGTACAGGGGGTTTCCAGCCGCGAGGTTTCAAAAGTTGAGCAATAACCTGAAAAAATGTACAAATACACATTAACAACACAGCATATTCAAGTATTCAACTAGACTACAGGGCCATTTGGTTGGAAAGAGAAATCTTTCAGTTCCTAATTTAAAAGTTTCCTGTGCTTGGCTGACTAAAACAATTCTCATCCTTGGAAAATGCTTTCCCATAATGGGAAGAAAAACTACTCTTAACATTTATAAATATTATTCCTGCCGAATAGAGAAAGGTAGAAAACATATACTTTACAACACATAAGGTAATGATATAAATATACTTCTAAATACCCAGAAAATCGAGAAACTACATCTTAATTGTCAAATCGCAACAGTATCTAATAAAATCATTTGCATCAATTGCTAATGGAATCATTTTTTACCATATTTAAGCTTTGGAGAAATAATAGAATCAAAATGTGACACTAAACTTCCATTGCTTCTTACTTTCTATGAAGTTCTGGACAGTAAATGCAGCAACTCCAAGCTGCTGTATCTAATCATATCGTTGCATATATCCATTCAAACATCAAAGGTATAAGAACTTTTTCCACTTTTGGTTCCCAGCTTATATTTTCACTTTTGATGCACAATTATTAAATTCTTGGATTTTTGGTCGATACAATCACTTATCTTGCTAAATGTGATATAAAAATATGTCATGAAGTATTATTTTCATGCTATGAATTTGCAATGTCATCTTCATCATTTGAAGGGAAGTAATGATATTTTAATTATTTCCACGTTGCATTTGGCCAAATGAATGGTATGAGGGACCAAAAGTAGCAACACTTAAATAGCCAGCTGCCAGAAGTGGAAAAATTGAAGTCGGGGATCAAAAGTGGAAATGACATGATAGTTGTGGTACAAACAACAAGAATAAACCCAGCATAAACCCAACTTTGTTGGAGTCTCACAGGGGTCAAGTGTACGCAACCGCACCCCTATAAAAAGTTGCGGTACCAAGAGTGGGAATATATAAAGGCGCAGATGTAAAGCAAGAATGCTTTCCATGAATCCAACACACCCCAACTTCTAAAACTCAAGCAAAAGCAAATATACTGATAGAGTACTACACAGAAGATTAATAGCTAGCCTACCTTTTTGGGCACACTGTTGATGGACATTTGTCTATCCAAAAGTTTTCTTGCTGCGGTTGCATTTTCTGGAGTTCCATAACTAACACGCCTGCCTTCATTTTCAAATTGATCAATGGATAGCTGTCTAACCATACCACCAAGAGCTCCACCTGTCTCCGCAGCAACAACCACCTGTGCATATATTTAGCATAAACTTGTAGTCAACATTTAACTCTTTGCAATTTGGTGATAATAACAGTGTATCAAACAGTACATAACCAGCCCCTTACAGCACGGTGATGCAACCGAACTCCAGGAGGGGCAGAATTGTTTGCTACAGCAGAGTCAGGCTTGATCAAGCTAGATGTTTCCTTTCCACTAGGAGTTGCTTCAGCCCCACGGTCCCTATCTGGCAGCTCAACCTCTCCATTAACTTGCCGAGCTTTTGCAGCAGCTAAAGTAGCACAAATAGCTTCTGCTTCAGCTGCAGATGCTTCCACTAGATATTCAACACCTTTGCTCATTCTCCTGCATAAAACTACAATTGTTATTTGAGGTTATATAAGCTCGTAGTTAGTAAAAATTACTCCGTAGAAAATAATAATTTAGCCAATTGAATTTGGGGAAAGAGTAAATAGGGGATGTTATATTGTTTGGTAATAATTTTCTTGTTTAAAAATAAAACAGTTTGTGGGTGCATCAAGAGTGTAATTGGAGAATTTAACTAGAACACGTATTAGTTCAGGGCGCATACTTGCATTTTACAGAGGTGAAGCAGATTTAAAATAAATAAATACATAAATAATTGACTCTGCAATTAGATTACTGGAAATGTTTTAACAAAATCTAACGCCTTCCAACCTGTCCCACCAGAATTCATATATCAAAACAGTAGCAACTAAAAAAACATACTAAAGTTGCGGACAGCATCTTACAAAAATACATCAATGGCTCACCGAGTTCCATGAAGCATGGCATTTTCGGTGCTTATGTCAGTATACACATCACCATTTACAGGAGGAGCAACAGGACTTCCCAGAACAACGGCACCATCATTAACTGTTTCAGGAACTCGCATTCTTTCATCATTATATCCATACCTCCCTTGTAGCCTCCCTGGAGGTAGATTTGCAGCTGCTGCTGCTGCATGTGATGCAGCACTTGTTGTTTCAGCAGCAGCCAAATCTTCAGCGACAAGCAAGTCATCTAGCAATACTCCTGCAAAACAAACATAAATTTCAGTCGGTATCTACCAATACCCCATAACCCCAAAAACAAGGATATGTTTTGACTTTTTCCTGCTTTTTAGGCATCTACCAATGCCTCACAACCCCCCCTGCCCCTTCAAAATCAAGGATTGGTTTTGACTTTTCCTTCTGTGTCTATAAAACACTCCTGCAATACAATCAACCAATGCCTCTTTTCCTATTTTTTATTATTTGATTATAAATTCTAAAATTTCATCTATGTCATTTGTTACGCGCTTCCAAATCCAGTCATCTAGTAGTATAGAAGATGCCTGACAGTCACCTAGCTAGTCTAACAGTCTGAAAGCCCCTTAATCGAATAAATAATCACACTGCAAATGATACTAAAGCCCTCCTCAAAAGAACCCATTTTTTTCGTGCTTCCTTATGTTCATTTGTTGGATGAGATGATCAGTGTGATCCTATACTGCAGAGTAATGCATTAAAAGTTCATTTGATGTACAACTTTTGTTATTACCACCACGCAAGCCACCATAAATAAAGATCAAGTCACCAACAGCAGCAGCAGCATGCCTGCATCGCCTTGTCAATTCAACGGCAGCATCCCCACCAGCAGCATCAGCACTGTATCTGCCAGGTCGTGGGCTAGTAACAACAGATTTTGTATCACACCACACCCCAGCAGCAGTATCTAAAACTGTAAAATGGGGGGAAAGCTTCAGGATGTGTAGGCATATTGAAATATCGCTCACCAGAAATAATTTAAAAGATTTAATTCTTTCACATAGTGTTGACAAATTGCAGATCGATATTACCAGCCACACTGGAGGAGTCCTCAACCATGCGCCCACCACCTAGTGCTCCTCCAGATACATGGAGCCGCGCATTAACGAACACCTAAGATTCCAGCATAAAATTGAATCTATTATACATTTAATTTGACAATGTTAAAAAGGCAATGACATATATATATATATATATATAGAGAGAGAGAGAGAGAGAGAGAAACAAGTCAACAACAAACCAAATAAAATCTCAACTCTGTGGGGGTCTTGGGGTCAAGATGTACAGTCTTACCCCTGAAAAAACAGAGAGGCTGTTTCGGAATCTTGCCCTTGAAAAAACATAGAGGCTACAACCCTTGTAAAAACAGAGGAGCTGTTTCTGAGACCCTGGATGCATTGATATGTTTACTACCCAAAGTTTCATAGTTAGAAGCAACGGAAGTTTAATGTGACATTTAGATTTAGTCCATTATTTTCCTAAAGCTAAAACATTGTCAATAATGACTCTTATAGCACCATTGGTAATAGACTTGAGAGAGAAAATAGAACTCACTGCAGCATGTTGATATCTAGGAGAGGGTGACACACCCGGAGCAATAGCCCATTCCCAACGACCATCTCTATGCTTGGCAAGTCCATATGCACTTGCCAGTGGCTGCAACACCATTGATCCGGTCATAAATTCATATGGTAATCAAGGAATTTATACAATTAAAAAAATACATCTATTCATTTTACATATCAAGAAAACAGTCCATCAATAAAACAGGAATAAGATGGACAAGTAAAAAGCAACTCAATTAGAAATTTAAAAATGCTCAAAACCCCATTGTACATGAGCACTCTGCATATGTTTTAATAACAGAAAAAAGAGTACCTTGTGCCAAAACTCCAATACAGAGTAACAAATGCCCATCAAAATTAGAATTTAAATAAAAACTTCCTAGCATGGATATTTTAGCTAGGAATTTGGATAAAAAAGATAAAATGCCAGCATCTACATAAGATGATGTTCATGCTCCATTAACTTTAATCTGGATAAAATGCCGGAAGAAGCAACGTGATACATTCAAAACCAGCATAAAACTTTTTTAAACCTCATCATAACTATTTAAGAATCAGCATACACGAATATACGAAGCTCAAGATGTTGGAATTGAAGGTGAACAGTCGTTTGCTGATATTATTACCAATATTTGATACTTGGTCATTCATACCATTATTAAAACTTTCCTATTTCTCATGTACAGTTGAATCATACCATAAAGATTTCAACTCCTATAGTTCCCCTCCTTACTGAAAAAATGCATAGAATAAAAATGAGGACTACAATGTGATTTAAAAACTTGGGGGGAAATAATGTTTAATCATATATAGATGATCAATCTAAGACCTGGAATCAATTCCATTTATTAGAGTAAAATTTATATTGCTTAGCTCACCACACTGTTTGCATCCCTCCCACCACAGAGTAGAAGAAGACCATCAGAACGTGCACTTGCAGTTGCATACCTGGGAAAATATACAGCATCTTAGAGCAGCAATTGTTTGATTTTTTTTTTCTTATTTGCTTTTAACAAACTCCGGCAGTGCATTTCAAAATAAAATATTGAAATTTGCATGGCACATCAGATTTTCACTACAGCACTCATCACACAATCCTTCAAATATTTGCAAATTATCACATTTTATCATGCGAGCAAATTACAATTGTTTTCCTAAGTCCACAAAGTGAACAAAAGTTATTATACGTAACAACAGAGAGTGATAATCTCCCATGTGACATTAAATGTAAACTCAAAGGTCAGCTCATTCACACCAGGTCATAGCTTATCCAAAGTGAGAATTATTGACTGTAAGCACATAGTAATTCCAATTTAAAAATTCCGAAACTGAATGTCATTCATCCAACGTGAATGTTGTCTTTGGTGCAAGTAAGAATGGCCTTTCCAAAATAGCCTTGGCAGATAAAGCACCATGTGTGCAGTGCTTTATGGTTTTTGTTTTCAAAATACAATACCATACAGCATTTTTGTTACGGACCTATTTGTGGGAATAAAATGCCAAAAATGTAGGAAGCTGAAAGGGCCCGGCTAGGCACCATGAGCTTGGTGTCTTTCCTCCTTTAATTTAAGTCCTACATTAATTCAAATTGACTTTGTTAGTTTTTAAAAATCTTTTTAATTATGGTTACAGCTTCTCCGAAGTCAAGCTGTATTAGGAATAGGATTCGCTCCTATATATCCAGACGATTAAAAATAACTATGTTCTTTCAGCTCAAAATAATTCTTTATTCGTCACGGGCTTTTGAATCCTGGGGTTTATAGTCCGACACTCCGACACAACAGAAAACTGATAAGACTCCCACCTTATGTACTGCCACCGGTTCTTCACATCCCTGGACGAGGAGCACCACCCGCACCCTTAACAATATCAGTTCTTAGTGTCTTGCCGCCTATACTGGAGTTGGAATAAATGGATAGTTTTACAAGCTTGTTGATAGCACACCTAAATCGGCACAAGTCTAATCCCTAGCTCTTTACATTGGTCATCTATTCAAATATAGTGTACAACTGAAAGGATTATGAAATGTGACCCAAACTTCAGTTGTTCCGCATGGTATCAGTCCCATATATGTGGCCTGAGCTTTTCTTGAAAAAGCAGGTGAGCCTTACTTCCTTCCATTTCAAAATATAGCTTCAAATTTTTGCTTTTAAGTCTAAGTTCAATTTTGAGGTCAGTTTCAGCTTATGTTCAGTCGATGTCAAGTTTCGGGTTCTAAACATTCAACCTCAAACTGTTCTAGGTTCAAAGTTTATATTAAGTTAAGTTTAAACGAGTTGAAGTTAAAAATTCAAATTTTCAAGCATTGGGAATCCCGTTTTCCCTTCACAAATTTACATTTGTCTCAAATTTATGGAATCATTTGAACATTGCATTTTCTTATTTTTAAAAAATTGATAGCTTAAAATTCTTTTACTTTTAATTATGGAACTGGCAGTCATCAATACATAAAAAATGTTCAACAATAACATTTGTAAATATACCCCTATACTTTTGTGCATTTACGTTTCGTCTGCATTCCTGAACTATCTTCAAATATGTCATCTACTACCTGGCTTTGAAGCACCACTAATATTCGTCCACTCAACAGGCAACCGATGAGACTCCTATCTTATCAAGGATCACTTCTATCATGGTTAATCCTTTTATCAGTATTCATCCAAAAAACTAGCTACAGTAAAAGATGATGAAGCCCGATCCGAGCCTAATATCCAGTGATCACAATTCACAACTAGAAGTTCCAAACAAATGCTTTAAAATGAGATTGTGTTAACCTTAGGAAGATAAAGTCAAAAACTAAACAACCTGTTGAGACAGATAGTAAGAGTAAGCTGTAGGAAATGCGTTATTAATTTAGCAAGTGCTAAGCATGCGTCAAGACCTGCGTTCTGTGTATTTTTTCCATTACATGATGGTTTGAAGATTTACATCTCATCATTCATTCTAAAGTATGTGATGTGAAGGGAATCCAGCAAAAAACTTTGCCACTGTTTTTTGCATGCACTATAGTGTTAAGTATTATAAATTGTGGACAATTAATTGACACTGCATAATACTATGCACAAATTTCATGGCACCAACCCTAACATAGTTGGGACTAAGTGGTGGTGGGGGTGAACTGGTGACGAATAAATTATGTAACTTTACGGAACAGTAAATGGTGTTCATTTATGCTAATAATGTTTGGTTTGCCCCATTTAACAATTAACATATGTGGAATAAAGAATTGCATACGATACTGTCAAATGAATCCAAAGTTAGAGATAAGGAAAATGGGGGAAAGGCATATAGTGCTCAACTAAAGGATAAAATGATGATAATTACATGCAAGGAGGTGGGCCTTCACCCTCTGGTTCCAGTTTGCGCCATTCATATGGCTTTGCTGCTGTATCCAATGCCCAAACATCTGCTAAAGGCCGTTTCCCTGACCACATGCACAATATTATCAGCATCACAAGTTATTTTAAAGTTATACTTGAAAGAGAGATCGATCAATTCACATGACTGACCATCATTTCCACCAATTGCCATGAGATACCGCTGTCCTACCAAAGCCATGACATGCCCATAGCGAGGCCCCGGCCCAGGTCCTTGTACCACGACCCTGCATAAGACACATCATTTCAGTAACAGAAAAAAAAACATATCATAATTTATTGGCACTAGATACGATCATGTGAATATTCAATGCAAACAGTCAAGATATTCAAGTATTTTCAGGATTTCAGCTGCATATATGTTGAATAGAAAAGTCAACCTATGCCACCGTGGTCGCTGTTGGGTAAGATCCAGGACATGAAGATCTTCGGAAGATAAACCAGCTGGTCCAATTCCACCCTATGATTATCCGATAAGGCATTATTACTATTTTAAGTATGCATCCATTACAAGGAAAACATTGAGCTAGTCACCAGTAAATACCAACCTGAATAACAACCATGGTACCAACAGCAGTAGCCACATGAGCTGCCCTTGGTGTGGGAGGCTCTCCAATAGGAGTGATTCTGAAGATGTAAAAGTTAACCATTACAAGCATAAGAGCAGCAGTTTTAGAGCAGCAAACCATAAAACTGAAGAAGCTTAAGATTAATATCAAGTTACCTAGACCATTTATTTGTCAATGCATCATAACAGTGCACATCAGCTGTAGCCCCTGCTAAACCTGCCATCAGACATTACTTTCAAGATTATTATAGATGTTCTGGAGCAAATAGAAATGTAATATCCAAACAGAAAAAATGAAAAAAACTACAACCCTGCTAAATAGGCAGTATCTACATGTAACCTAGAAGAACATGTTATATCTCGTACGGATTGACACGCTGCTCTAGTAATGTCAGGCATATTTCTTCTTTAAGATAACAAGAAACACAAAATATATTAGACATTATTTCTTGGTCAATGCTGGATCAATTAAATGAATCATTAGAAGTTAGAGCCTCTCTCAACCTCCTAAATGGCCAATTATATTACTAAATAGTGACATTTGCATCCAGAAAATAAATGCTTCCACAATAGATTTGTATAAATATTTGTAAGAAACTCGCACATAAGTGTACTACTTCCAGAGTAGCAGGATGAGCATAGACTGTAACTTAATTTAGACTAAGTTGAGGATTCAGAGAACGAAAGAATGATTGTGAATTTTTAAAAAAATGTTTCTAATCAACAAATCGAAAAAATAAGCATACGGATTCCAGCACTTCCAGCTGATGATGGAGTGCCTGAAGCTGCAGAATTCCCCTCAAGTGCAGTAGCACCACCAAAGAGAATAAGCCTCGGACCAATGTACCCCGGCATGCCCTCCTCCCCAACAGCCGGAACAGAAGTCAGAGTGTGACCACATCTTGGTCCCGGGCCATCCTCCGACTTCTCGATGATAGGCTGCAGCACTGAGTACGTAGGAGCGCATCTTGGCCCTGCAACTGAACCAGTACTCTGTTGCTGTGATTGTTGAGCCTGAGAAGGCGAGGACTGCTGGTTAACAGCAGAAGTAGTCTGTGGTGGAGATCCTACAGCAGAGGGCTCGTCCCCAACCTGCTCGGAACTCGACCTGTTATTCTGCACAGCTGGATCGTGATCAGGCCCTGTTGCCATCGTCGAATCCACGTCCATCTCTCTCAACTCGAAACCCTAATTTCAAAACTTCCCCCCACGATCGGAGCTCCAATTCTCACCAATTGCCATTTCCGCCCAACATTTCTCAATCCATTTCAAAACCGAATCGCGCCAAATTCAGAGCTCCCAAACCCTATCTCAGATCCTTGTATTCAATACAAAAAATTATCCCGCGTATCCGCCGCCAATTATAATTTGATTGGATTATACTCCTCAAGTTTTCCAAGAAATTGTACACTAACACGGAGTAATTAAGTAGAGAGATAAATAAAAATTAAAGAAACTTATTTCGGTTAATCTTTTCCTCTGGCTCTCTCTCTCTCTCTTGCCGAAATTATTTTGGAGGAATTATTTTCTTCTGTTCTTTAGGACAGGGCGGCCAAAGAACACTAGGCGTTCTAATTCGCTCCTTTCTCTCCAAATTAGTCCCCACAATCTCCACTCTATAATTGAATTGTCCAAATTTGGCTATTATTGGATCACTAGTGCTAATAAGTTGTAAACATATACCATTTCTCTCATTAAATTTTGAAAAAAAAAAATATGAGTTAATGCAGAAAGAAAAAAAAAGAAAATGGGCAAATTATATGCTACAGCCAAATATACAACAACAACAAACTAGTTGAATCTCACAAAAATAGAGTCTAGGGAAGGTGTGTGTACGTAAACATTGCCCCTACTCGAAAATAGAGAGACTATTTCCAAAGAGACCCCCAGCTCAACGTTGAAAGTTACATTGATTGACTAACTGCTACTTCATTAATCAAAGAAGCACAGACAATTTAGAGATCCATTTTGCTTTATTCCAGCACACCCCGAAGCCAAAAAATGAGGAATTTTGGCTCCATCGGAGATGATGGAAAAACAGCAGCTTATGTATCATCCTTTTAATACATCATGGCAACTTATAATTAAAAACAATATTTCAGATTGAACACTACGTCCTTGTTTGGATGTTGGCAGTCAGCTGTTGGTTGTTGGCTGTTTGTATCAGCTGTTCTAAATAGCTGTTTGATTTAGCTGGTTTGACCGGCAAGATGAGTTAGTTGATCGTTAAAAATGTTTGGTAAAATTAGCTGTTTGAAAATAGTTGTTTCGATATAGCTGTTTGAACAGCATGCTAAGCTTATTTTGGAATGAATAATGCAGTTGAAGATGGACACACTATTACTTCAAAATGAATATTCATCGAATGTACCTAGCTCTACGTACAATCAGGTGTATGATATACATTCCCTAGAGCATTAATATTTTATCTCCAAAATATAATTTACAATGTTAATATTATCAACATATAATACCAAAAAATATCGTGAAATGTCAATATGCACTTTTACAATGTAATGTCTTTCTTTAGAGATAAAAATATGTCACTCTTCTTTTAAAAATAAGTGTTATATTTTATTCATATTTGGGTGATTTCTTATTAATTTTAGATTATACGTATGTCGCAAATGATGGTATGGATTACAACGAACGGGGAAGACGAGCGACCTTGGAATATTAAAAAAATAAAAATCTAAATTTATAATTTATTTAGAATATTACAAAGTAAACAAAACTAGAAAATTAGTTTCTTGGTCTTCAAAAGGGTCTTGCTGTATGAAGACATTATGCACGACTGCAAGGACTTTATGTACTGGTCTGAAACAGCAAGCGGGGACAAGGACACTACGAGTAGCAACGAGGTCACTAGAACAACAGCGAGGATAAAATGGCTAGAAATAGAATAGCATCGAAGACACTAGATCTTGGGGCAGAATGGTTTACATCCAGAGGTAGACTTTCTAACTCCCAAGTATGATTCTACAAGATAGAATCAACTTCACTTTTAATGGCATCTTTTCATTGAGGGACTTTAGATTAAGTTACTGTTTCACGATTGGTTCGTGGTTCATTTTCTAATAAATAGATTAGAATGTCAGATTCACTCTCTATCAATGATAGGGTTTCTTATTCAAATTCTAGCATGTATGTTAGAAAATCAAGACCAAAATAGTTCTTAGTTAGTGTCCTTTTACATTATCTTGGTTCGGTCTCAATTTCGATTTCACCTGGTAATCCTGGTATTAGACTAATCGGGGTAACCATCATTCAATATCTCATCATGAAAACGTTTAGACGAACGAGTTTCGTCTCTAGATTTTAACAGATAAATATGTTTGGAAAATGTCGCATTCCTCGATTCCATTATCTTGTTCTTGTGTATTTTCAAATTATCGAACTTATAAATCTAGAAATGATAGGCGCTACCATTGTAGCCAATGAAGATTTCATCAACGATTTCCAAACCAAACTTCTTTTTTTTTGTTGTGGTGCAAAAACTTTTGCAAGACACCCCCCCAAACGTTTAGATATTTATAGGAAGGTTTCCTATTAAACCACAACATGTAAGAAGTCTTATCGAATTTCTTTCAAGGTATTTTTTTCACATGTAATTGCTAGATAAAATAACTTCATCCCACTCTTTTGAGGTAGCCCCAAACTGAACAACATCGCATTCATCATATATTTGAGAGTGTGATTTTTTCATTCCACCACACCGTTCGAGTGAGTTGTGTATGGTGGAGTTACTTGATGCACAATCCCATGTTGTGCACAGAACTCATGGAATTAAATGTAGCCTTGTACTCCCCATCACTATTACTCCTAATCGTTTTAATTTTTCGATTGAGTTGATTTTAAATTGTATTCTTTTCTAGAATGAAAGTTTCCAATGCCTCGATTTTACTTTTAAGTAATTAAATATAGTAGCATTCCGTGCTATCATCGCAAAATATGATAATATATTTATTACCACCTCTTGAAGGCATTGTTCTGAAATCACACAGATCTGTGAGAATCAGATCTAGTGGCTCAATAGCTCGTTTAATCGTTTGATATAAACTTCGTGTTGACTTCAGTTCGACACACGTTGCACATATGTGGGACAAGTCAATGTCAAACTTCGAGATATATTCTGTGTTAATTAATTTCTGAAGAGATGAATAATTAGCATGTCTTAGTCTACTATGCCACAAATTGGAAGACTCACACACATAGGCAACATGAGTTTTATTAATCCTCTCAACAATAGTGAGTACATTAAGCTTAAAAGCCCATAAAAAACATAACGTTTGCCTATAAATACACCCTTCTTGTACAAGATCATCTTGTCAGACTCAAACACCATGCGAAATTCATGTTTGTTCGGTAGTGGGCCCGACACCAAGTTCTTGCATATGTCTAGGACATATGCAATATCGTTTAGCGTGAACACCTTGCCGAAGGTCATCTCGAGCTTCACTTTACACATGCCTTTAACTTCATATTTGGCGAAGTTTCCAATCCATACATTGTTCCCAGAACTCTATATGAAGGCATAGAGCATGGCCTGATTGGAGCAAATTTGACGAGTGGCTCCGGTGTCAACCCACCACTCTTTCAGGTTAGATATGACCAAGTTGACCTTTGTCGCAACCGCACAGAGAATCTAGCTCTAAGAACACGGCCTCTTCCTTTTTCTATTTTTTCTTCTAATGCTTCTTACGACACTCTAAAGAACGGTGGCCTGTGATGCTAGAGTTATAGCATTTCCTAGCGAACTTAGTCTTCGCAATTTCTCCTTTAGGATCGAGTTTCTTCTTGTCTTTGTTCAGTTTAGGCCCTTTGGGTGGATGTTCCATCACATTAGCCTTAACAACTGTTACTTTCTTCGCGCGAGCCAGACCCTCTTATCGGATCCAAAGACGAACAAAAAACTATTCTAAGGTCATCTCTTTCTATTTGAGCTTAAGATAGCTCCAACACTCATCCCAAGCTGGCAAGAGCACATGAATGATCGCCGCCACTTGGAATGATTCACCGATTCCCATTCCCTCGTCGGTACACTTTGTGAAGATGAGGATCAGTTCTTCAGTTGGAATCTTATCGATACCAAATTTCTCCACACCGGTGTCTTCGTCCTGGTATTTGTTGGACAGTGTAGTTCATAACTCCTTTGCAGATAAGACCTTGCAGTAAGTTGCATGCAAGGCATCGTTAAGACAATTAAGGATAAGATCGAGACACATATAGTTATTCACTTTTCATGTCTTCCTAGCTTGAACTATCAGCTTGTATGTGTTCTCTGTCACAATATGGGGATCCTCGCTCAAGTACCTTGCAAGGTTGCGCGTGGATAGCAAAAACATCATCCTCTACTGCCACATTTTAAAGCTGACGCTAGTGAACTTTGTCGGTTCCTTGACAAAAGGTCACAGGCATTATGTAATGCCCTGAAATATACCCTAGAATTTAATAAAGAATTTCTAATAAATGGTAATTTTGATTTTTTATTTGAATTAATAATAATAATAAAATGACAGTGGTAAAAATAATTTTTTTAAAGTTATTTTGTTATAATCAAATTTATACTTGAATTGAACGTCTCGACGAGACGCGTTCAACGGCTTATTCCGCGTGCAAATCCAAGTTACACAACTTAAGAGTTTTATCGTCTCAAGACCAAAAAGATTCTAAAGTATACAAATAAAATACATGATGTAGCGATAATTTTATCTACCAAATTTTGGGTTTCTGGATAGGTCTTGTGAAAAGATGACCAACAATATATTGTTTACCAAATTTGAACTTATGTGTAAAAAGCTATGAGTGAAACAATGTTCCACTTCAATAATTAAATTAAATGATTTTAGAATAAATAATACTATAATTACAAAATAAAATTTCTAAATTCAGGGCTCTTGCACCGCACGAAACTCCAGGCCCTTCACAATAAATATACTCCGTATACGCTTTGTTCCTTCTTCTTCATCACCGTTTTGAGTCAATCTTCTTCCTCTATTACAGTCATGTATATATCGATATATACAGAGTCAATTGATGATTTTGCTGAGAAGTTATCAAGTTTAGCTTCAAAATCTGTAGCCCTTGGAGAAGAGATAGAAGAGAAAAAGATGGTAAAGAAGTTTCTAAAGGATCTTCCACGTTCGAAATACATCCATATAGTCGCCTCGTTGGAGCAAGTCTTGGATTTAAACAAGCTAGGATTTCCAGAAACCATAGACCGATTGAAAGCCTATGAAGAGCGAATCAAAGAAGAGAATATAGAAACACAAAGTAAACTATTGTTCTCCAATGGTGAAATCTTTCATTCTCGAATGAGAGAAAACAGATCAAGATGACGAAGTTGATGCAACCAAGGTTGAGGAAGAGACCAAAACCAGGATGATGATGACCAAGATGGAAGTCAATGCCGAGATGGTCAAGATCATGGGTCAAAGAAGAATCAATGATCGTCAGAAGGGTAGAAAGGATAGATCAAAGGTTTAGTGTTTTCAATGTGATAAATTTGGTCGCTTTGCATCAGTATTCCCGAGGCATATGAAGAAACATGAAGAAGCTAATTTAGCTCAAATTGATGTTTTGGATCCATCTTTGTTGATGATAAAATGTGATTAAGAGAATGTTTTTCTAAATGAAGAAGGGGTGATTCTAGGACCGTAAACGGATAGCCGAAAATCCGATTACCGTCCGCATCCGCATCCGTTTAAAAGAGGAAATATCCGCATCCGTTTTAAACGGATATTATCCGTATCCGATTAAAGATATCCGATTACTAAACGGATATGGATTTGGTAATTGTATATCCGATCCGTTTAAAATCCGATCTGCATATGCATTCGTTTAAATAATTGTTTATCCAAATATCCGATCCGTTATATATATATATATATATATATATATATATATATATATATATATATATATATATATATATATATATATATAGTTTTTCCTAATTTTTGTGTTTATATTTTGTTTCTCTATTGATATTTCAAAATATAAGACATTTTTAAATACAAAATAAATGTGTACACATAAAAATATATACAGACATAAAAATATGTATATATATGTGTTGTGTATATCTTTTTATCATATAAAGTTATTGTAGAATATGAGAAATCATGAAAACAAAGAAAATAATTATCTCATAACAAATTATAGTTGATTTAAAAATAGTTTGACTTTAATCTAATTATTTTTTAATTTGATTTTAAAAATTGGAAGCGGATACGGATATATTCGATATCCGACGGATGCGGATACGGTTTTAATTTTCAGTATCCGTCAAGATCCGTATCCGAATTCGATATCCGACAAAAATAAACGGATGTGGATTTGGTAATGGCACGTCCGATCCGATTAATATCCGTTTACACCCCTAGGTGATTCCTAAGCGTTTCAAGGTTGAATCAAAGGATAAAGACATTTGGTATCTCGATAATAGAGCATCGAATCACATGACGGGTAATCAAGCTTACTTCTTTGAACTTAATGAACGTGTCACGAGAAAGGTGAGGTGATAAATTGGTTTTGGGTTAGTATTTTTTCTTTATTTTTAGGCATTTTTAATATTTTTAGATTATATTTTTTAGTTGTTTAGCTTAGTTTTCTTTTAATTCTCATTTTTACAATCTTTTAATTTTCTTTTAAAAATAGTAGTTTTTTAATCATTTTTTACATTTTTTAATTTTTTATTTTATTTTTCCTAACCCAAGTTATCAGATATCTTATTTTTGGAGAAAAATATAGCAAAAGACCAAATCGAAGTTCAAGTTTAAAAAGAAGAGATAGAATTTGGGCTGGAGCCCAACCAGGACATATAGAAAAAGACCAAGCCACATTTCTCTTCCCCAATTGGATCTCATGCACGGAATAACGGAGAATGGAAGTTCATCGACTCCTTCGGCGATAGAAGTAACGACATCTCCAACGGCTCTTCTCCAACGTTCCCCAAAATCAATGCTCCAACGGAAGAATTTGGCTCCTCCATTCTATAAATTGAAGCTTCACAAGATGGGAAAAAGGGGGGAAACACACGAGGAGCAACGACAAGAGGGCGGCAAACGTGAACCGGCGGCGGCGGTGGCAGACGGCCGGCAAACGCGAACCGGCGGCGGCAAAAGCTCCAGCGAGTGGTGGGCAGTCTTCTCCAAGCTCCAATTTCTTCAATTTCATCTTCTTCTTCATCAATTGGTAACCCTATATGTTATTTCTTCAAATTTTTCTCCAATTCTATGTAAAAGTGTTCTTTTTAGTTTAATTTTTACAATTTTGTTTGTTTGTTTGTGATAATTTCAAAAATTCCAAAATGGTTGGTGTTCTTTTATGGGTATTTTTTTAATGTTTATATATAATCCCTTATGAATGAGAATTGATTCTTTCTTATTTACTTCAATTATTGTACAAATTGTTGTTAAATTGGTTGAATTGTTTCAAATTCATAAGTAGGTTGTTATGTAGAATTTGGTTTTTGTTGAAGCTATTTTAGCTCCATAAGATAGTTATATAAACTCCGAATTCATACGTGTTTCTTTGTTGTGCTTGTGTTCGTTGATTTTAAGGAATTTGGACTTCTTAGCCCCATAAGTTGGTTCATTTTCCTTAAAATTCGTTATAGAGTGATTTTGTTATGTTATGTGTTTGTTTTCCATTTTCTTTAAATTGAGATTGTTTAAGTGCAATAAACAATTCTTGATTTATTGAAAATATGTTGTGTTTATCTATGTGAGTAGAAAAAACGTCATTGGTTTGAGAAATTCATGGAAATCTGTGAAATGTGCTCTTCATTAGGAGAAAAAGTTTATTAAAATGCATAAGGTATTGGCGGTTTGTGAATATATATTATGCATGAGAGTTAGAATGAAAAAAAATTCGCTCTTTTATAAACTTTTTCTATAGTAGAAGTATGTTTTCATGCTTGATTGGTGAGTTGGGGTTCTAAGGTATATATTTAAAAATGGGCCTTTGAATTACATGACTCCGGGCCGTGTGGAGAGTTGACAATCCTCCATATCGTGGTTAAGGAAATGAATCGACTCGGCCTTTGATTGGTTTTTTTCTATTCTTAAGTGCGTAAGTTACGTAATATATTGTCTACGTGCCTATTATACGTGTAATGTTCGATTGTGTTTGTTCTTTTTTTTAATTTTGTTTTAGGTTCTTGGCGGTGTTTTTCGGGTTACCTCAGTTGAAGAAGTTGATTATCTTTTGAGCTTGTTTTCCCCTATTTTATCAATAAAAAACCAAAAAACTAAGAAAAACTAAAAAAGCCAAAAAAATATTTACTTTTTTACTCAACCCCCCCTTTGTGTTTTATGTTTATAGTTATATTATAGTTCTTTGTTTATATAAGTTATATTTATATTTTTTAAATTTATTTAGTTATAAGTTTTATTAAAAGTTTTATAAGTATTATCATTTGTGTAGTAGTTTGTTTTTTATTTTATTTCGTGACAACGTGTTTGTTTACTAAATTGGTTTTAAAAAGTACGACATTTTTTCCGTAGGATCGACCCTTACTTGCCCTAGCTATAGTTTTTATTTGACTATATATTGGGGGTTATCTAAGATTATTTATAAATTTTTAATTTGTTTTGGACCGCACGACGGGTTCTCAACATGAGGTTTGGATATATAGATCTTGTATTGACATACAAGGAAAGGGATGTGTATTACTTGTAGGGAAAACGGGGGAGCAGCGCCCGTTGATCGATGTGTACTACATACCTAGCCTACAAAGCAACATCATAAGTCATGGTCAGGCAACGGAAGGTAGATGCGACATTCACATGAAGTGCGATTCGCTAACCATTCATGATGACACTAGGAAGCTTATGAAGAAGGTGACAATGACCAATAACCGTTTGTACAAGATCAATCTCAAGTAAACAAGTCTGAATACATAAGTTAGCATGATTGAAATGAAGAATTTTGCGGGTAGGGATCAACAAAGAGTTGATCCCTTGAATGAAGGTACGCGAAGAACGAGTCAAAATCTTCTCAAAGATCCAAGTTTAATGGAGAAACCCAAAATTAAAAGTCCAAAGAATAATGTTCAAGAGTTTATAGGATGTCAAGAAAAAAAATTCTAACCCAAGGAAGGACGTGTGATGATCGCAAGAAGCACATGTTTGCTCAAGCGAAGTGGAGCCCATGGGACACTGCAAGGGATCATGAAGAGCCTTGGGAGAATCAAGATAAAAACTACATGCTTAGAGTTGAAGATTTACCCGAAATCCAACTCGAAAATTAGGTGGGGTGAACATTGACTAATTATCGAGTAAGATAAGGATTAGCCGAGGTATTCTGGTTCGAGTAGAAATAAAATTATGGGTCCTATGATTAATTAGCTTACTCGTTGACCAAGATGGGTTAACACTATATATATCATAACCAAGCTTTGGGTATTCATATGAGAGACATATGAGATTTATATGAGAGTTATTGTATTGAGTTTTGAGTTATATTTTTCTAATATAATAAAAGCTAGTTCTTATCAAATTGTGTTCTCTTTAGTACTCTAAATGGGGGGAGAAGGAGAAGTAAGGCAAAAAAGGAATAACGCTCTATTCCGTACGTCTATCTGATTGAATCTGATCTGAATTTTTGAAGTTCTGATCTGATTAGATCTAATTGGGTCTGATTGGATCTGATCTAATCTCATCTAATTGGATCTGATCTGATCTAATTGGGTATGATCTGATCTGATTGGATCTGATCTGATTCGGTCTGATCTGATCTGATTGGATCTGATCTGATTGTACATGATTTTATCCAATTAGACCTTGTGTAAATGAATTTAAATTTGATTTAATTTAAACTTAAAATTATTACAAAATTTAATAATTTAATAGTATTACAATTCATACATACCAAAAAAGTAAAACAAGAAAATCAGCTAATCATTTATATATTTAAACTTTTTTTGAAATATTAAACACCTTTTCAATATCACTACTTTTTGAATTTTTGTGAAAACTAAATAATTGGCAATAAAATTAGCAAATACTAGAAAACATATATGCTTTTAAAAAAATACATTCTAAATGCATATTACATAAGATTATATTTCATGTTATAAATTAAATATCATATAAAAATTTAAACACTAATATACCTTTTACCTCTATCAATTTTGTCATAGATTCACCTTGTATATATTATATCATCTTAAAGTTTAAAAGTAAGTCTTTCTAAGTATAACATATTTATGGTTTTGAAAACTAGGTTTTGTATAATTATTTTATAAACAAGTATTTTAAAACAACTCTTTTTAAAGTATGAAAGATACAACCTTTTAAGCTTTAACATTTCTTCAATGCATCATTTCTACAAGCTGATCAATTATTAAAAATAATGGTTTTTAGTAGAAATATAATAATAATAATAATAATAATAATATAACAATAATAATAATAATAGTTAAAATTATAATAATAATTACGATTTAGTCGTGTGTAGCTTTAAATAAAGTAGTGTGATTTAATAAAATAATAGTAATTTTTTTAATCTTTAAAAAATATAAATATTTTTTATATTTTTTCCTAATTTGGAATCCTATTTTGATACTTTCTAGATCGTTTTGCGAGCTCTAAAGCAAATGATGGAAGTTACCTTGGAGGACCACATGTATATGACTTTTAAAAACCGAATTCATTTTATTAAAAAAATAATATTTACAGATTTATATTAATTAGTAACTAATTATTATTTAAGGCATTATTTTAGTAAGATATTGTTATTTAAGGAATTTATTTATAACACTGTTGACAACGGAATCAATGTCGAGTCCAAGGCATGTGTGGGAGCAATGTTGGCAATATATGAGAGATGATGTTTTGTTGGATCATGAATGTATTTTTTCCTAATATTATAATAATTTCAAATAAAAACAATATGACTAAAACTTTATAAATTTTAATTAGGTCTAATGCTTACTGATGATGAGATTCAAAACCATATTCTATGTGATCTCGAAGACTTGCTGAGACGTCGTGATAAGAGCCTTCACGATTACAGAGATATGCCTTTAAGCGAACCTCCACAAAATTTGGACCTCAACCAATCGATTAATTTTTGATGAAATGCAATACGATCGAATAACATTGGCAAGTGAGCACACCAGACTATTGCGTTCACTGAATGATGAACAATGTGCAGCGTATAAAGCAATAATGCAATTCGTTCAAACAAATGCTGGCAAATATTTCTTTCTGTACAGATATGGAGGAACCGGCAAGACATATGTATGGAGAACATGTAACACCCTAATCCGTCCAGGTCTGCAGCCCCTTTCAGATTAAAGTATTAACTTGGTAATCGTAAAAATTTAAAACATTTTAAACACTTTTATTTATCACAATAATACTTTTCATAATATAAATAGTACGGAGTTTTCAATATTGCGGAAGCTTAACAATCATAATCACAAACATAATTTATTTATGTTCTTTAATTCAAAACCATCACATCCATTCCGACAATCTCGCCTCCGTCTGCCTCCAGGATCACGTCACTTCATTAACCTGCGTGTAACAAATAAAACATACTACACGCTCAGCGTTGAAGCTGAGTAAGCATATCTAATGTATCGAACATCCATATAAACTGAATCTAAATTCATAATCAAATCATTTGATATCATGCACATAATATTCAATTCAGATATTCAATAATCATTAGCCAATATTCATCATTCATTATTCAACATTTATATTCATATTCGACGTTCATCGGTTATTCATAATATTCACAATATTCAATTCAATAATCATTATTCAATATTCATTCATATTCAATATTCAACATTTGACAATATTCTTAAACTATTCTTAGCCTAAGGCCAATCACTTTAATGTTTATCAATCCTTAAATGAATTCTAGTTTAAATAATTAAACTATATTCCAGTATAAAGTACTCCTAAATAATCCTTAAGCTAGGCCTAGTTTAAGATAAAATGGTTTTGAAAATCTTAAACTTACCTTCACTTAAGGCCAACCAAAAACCGACAACGTAGTGTTCACTGTTGGGTGAGTGGTACCCCCAAACGAGTAGGTACTCAAGTTTGGTTCTTGGATCCCGTACGAACGTTTTAATCCTAGCCACCGGGGTTCATACCCGCAAGGCCTAACTTAAATAGGTATATCTTAGAGGTCTTCTAGATACCTTTCAAATCAACATTAATATGGGTATATCTTAGAGGTCTTTTAGATACCCTTAACAATACATTTTATTTTCACAATCATCAATATATTCATTATGATTTAATCATTCACAATTATCATTTTTAATCAGAATATTCATCAAGATTCAATCATCACAATAATGAATCAATAATCATTACCATAATTATCAATCAACATAATATTCAATAATAATTAGCGGCCTAGCTTCGGGTGTTAACACCCTAACTTACCGTCATGCATCACATGACATTTTTATTTGTTAAGAACATCATTTTTATTATGGTAAATCATTTTTCCAATGATCATAATCAATTGGTGGATTTTAGAGCATATATTTTCCAAATATTTTCGGAACAGGATCTCGACTTAAGAAAAATCGATTTTTATTTTTAAAAATAATCAATTAATACCTAAAAATCGATTTTTATATTTAAAATAATCCATTAATAGCTAAAAATCGATTTTTATATTTTAAATAATCAATTAATTGCTAAAAATCGATTTTTTTATTTTAAATAATCAATTCATTGCTAAAAATCGATTTTTATATTTTAAATAATCAATTAATTGCTAAAAATCGATTTTT